CTTAAGTCGGGCGTGTCCCCCATACAGAAGATTTTCGACGAAAATATCAAATACTCAAAACATCGGAGGTCGGGGGGAGAGATCGCAGTGGAACGGAGACACCCCGCCGGGAAATCGGTTTCGGTTTCGTGCTCGTGTAGTGCGTGCGGGCGAGGCGAAGCTGCGCGTGATCCTCCTGTAGCGAAGTAGGAGCGAAAGTCCGTTTCCCGTCCGCCGGTGGCTGGGAAGTGTCCCAGTTGGGCCGGGCGGTGTCCCGGGTGTCAATAGGAGCGAAAGTCCGTTTCCCGTCCGCCCGTGGCCAGGAGGTGTCCCAATTGGGCCGGGCGGTGTCCCGGGTGTCCCGGGCGTCCCGGCGCTAACGCATGCCGATAATATCATAAATTATGTTTTTCGGCGCCTGCGGCGGGGTTTCTTATCCAATCCAGCTCATCTTATCCAACCGATCTTGTCCAATCCAATCCATCTTATCCTATCCAACCCCTATCTTATCCCACCCAATCCAATCCACCCAACCCAATCCATCAATCCATTTGTTTCTGCGCCTGTGGCGGGCCAGTCCAATCCATCTTATATGTTCCAATCCATTTCGTCCAATCCAACCCATCTTATCTCACCCAATCCATCTTATCCCATCCAATCCAATCCACCCAACCGAATCAATCAATTCGATCTTGCCAGAAAAAGAAAGATGATATCAAGGAGACAGGCTGGAGGTCAGTCAGGGTGGGCATTTGATCTCAATCTCCCCCCGACCTCCTTATCGCCCGCAGGGCGGTCGTATAGGTACTCCACAATCGTCAAATAATATTTAAAAAATAATGTCCAAACTATTGTTGGACGATTTTTGAATATTCCTCGTGTAGAGGGACGGGCCCGACTTAAGAGCGCTCTCTCCGGCCCATTTTGGCCAGTCCAGACGCCAGTGTCCAAAAGCAAGACGCCGTTGGTCAGCACGGGCGCTGCTGTCTGCAGGCGAAAGTCACCAGCCAGTCGGCCCAACAGCCCGACACGCCCGCGCGCCATTGGCATGCCGAGTGGCCCGCTGAAAATTCCCCGCCGAACAAACAAACGCACAGGCAAGGAGAGCATGTGACGTAGGATGGAGGGAGGACGCGAGCGACCAGCTCCTGAGCTTTCTTGAGCGGTACTCGCTGCGCTGACTGCAAGCGGACGTCACCTGCAAATTCGTTCGGCACGTTTGGGCTGGTCCGAGAATACAGCGGCGTTGTTCAGCAGAGGCGATGCTGTCCGCGGGTTGAGCTCACCTGCGGATCGGCCCAGCAGGCTGACACGCCCGTGCGTGAGTGGCATACGGAATGGCCTGCTGTAGACTCCCCGCTGCTGAACAACCAAAAAGTAATGGCAACGAGAATATGGAAGGTAGGGTAGAGGGAGGATGCGAGCGACCAGCTCCTGAATACAAATGAATGGAAGTCGCTGGGCCTACCTTGGGCCGCCTGGGGGCACTCTTAGGCCATCTTGAGCCACTCTGAGGGGCCCTCGCATGGCCACCCTGAACCGCCTTGGGCGCCTCCTGAGCCAGCGCGGGCACTTCGTGGGCCCTCTTGGGGCTTTTCTGGGCCGCCCAGGCGAGCGCGGAAGCCCCTGGGCCCGTCGTGGGCACAAAGAGGAGCTGATTAGCGCATATGCGAAAATCGTAAGAAAATCAATGACGCATCGCCGCCTGCTGTGCTCCGAGACCCCTGGGCCTGTCAGGGGGGTTGTGTAGATCGTCTTGAGCCGCCTTGCAAGCGCTCGAGTTGCCCCTCTGGCCTACTGGGCTGCTCTTTTCCGCTCATTCGCGCTCCCTGGAGCTGTTTTGAGCGGCCCGCGGGAGGCCCTGGAGGCTCCGTGATTCAGTTAGGGGGCATCGGGCTCAGATCCAGGGTGTCGCGCGTCAGAGAGACCGCGTCCGAAGTCGAACGCAGCCCTGTGCTTGTGGCGGGCTACTCGGGCCGAGGGCTCTCGGGGCCTCTCAGGGCTTCGGGGCGCAGCGCACGGCCCCCAGACCGCGAGCAAGGGCAGGCCAAGCCTGCGGGCAACTCTAGAAACCAGACAAGTTCCAGAGAGCAGCAGCGGTTCCCAGACTGCCGCTCAAGGGCAGGCTCAGCCTGCAGGGCAACACCAGATGCCAGAAAGGACCTGGGGCCTAGCCCCGACCAGGGGCGAGGGGCGCCCCCGTCTCAGGGCGAAGCCTCGCCACCAGGCGGCCTCGGCGCTTGGCCCGAGCCCGCTCCGCGGGGCGGCGCAGAAGTCAAGGGCGGGGGGGGGGGGGGGGGGCGCCTGAGCAGGGGCTCCCCAACAGCCTCCCCTGCCTCTTGGCATGCGCTCCACATCGCCTGCGCAGCGCGCGGAGGCCTCTGGGGGATCTCATGGCCAAGCGCATCCGAGACCTCCTCCGCCTCCCCCGCCCGGCCCCCGCCCCGCCGCCCACCTCCCGCAGCGGCGGCGGCAGCGGCGGCAGGCAGACGGGAGTCCTTGCCCCGCTGCCGCGGGGCGCGCGCCGCACAGGCAGCGGCCGCCGTCTTCGGCGGGGGCGCCGTCAACGGCGGGGGGCTCGCGGCGCCGCGCGGCGCGCGAGCATCGGGCGCGCCCCTAGCGGCTCCGAGGAGGCGAGCCGCGAGCGTGGCCCGTCGCTCCGACGCCGACGACGACGACGGACCGCCACCGCCTCCAAACACAGCGGCAGGGGCAGCACGCGCCTCTCGTCGGGGAGATCTGCTGTCTCACGCCCTCGCGCAGACTGGCCTTGCGAAGCGCTGGCATCTTCGCGGCGCGCAGTCGCTGCGCAAGCCGCCGCGGCCGCCAGGCCCAGGGCAAGCGTCGGCGGAACCGATGGGGGGAACAGGACTCTCCTCGGCTCTGAATGGGCCGTGCACCGCCAAGAGGGCCGCAGCTCGAGCACGCAACAGGGCGGGACAGGGGCCAGTCAGCAGACCACGGATCGTCTCTTCCGAAAACCCCGCGCGGTTGCACTTCCTGCAGGCGCCAACTCACGAGGGACAAGCGAAAGGCTTGGGGGCTTCGGCGGACGCCTGCGGGCTCGGGGCTCATCCTTGGGGCCGCCCCACCGATCAGAGCTCAGCGCGCGCTTGCCGGCCCGCGCGACAAACCTGGCACGATTTACCGCCTCGGCGAGGCGCAGGTCGAACCCCTTGCCAAAATTAAGGCTAACCGTGGCAACATGCAGCGCAACCGTGGTGGAGAAATCGGCGCGCGCGTTTCCCACCCCGGCCGTCTCCCCCACTCCCCGACTGAGCGCCTCCTCGGGCGACTTGTGAGACGGGGCCCCAGCGAAACGGGGCGGGGGGCGGGCCTGCCGCTCGACCGCGGCTCTCATGGCTCGCCAAATCTCAGCGTGGCGAGCAGCGGCCGACACCTCTCTCCCGCCCCGCCGCTCACCCTCTTGGACCAGAGACAGGCGATCACTTGCAATTCTAGTTGCACGCGGCGAAGCCAGAATGGCCTGGAAGCCCGCGTACCTGGCAGCCCTGGACCCCGGCTGGACCCCCGGGGGGCTTCCAAACCTGGCCTTGGAGAGGCGGCCCTGGGAATCAAGCTGCACGATCGCCCAAGCACATCGCGCGACCTCGGCGGTCTGCGTATCCTGGCCCGCCTCATCCGCGTAGACCGTGCCTTTCCAGGGAACCTCGGGGTCACCCCATTCAAACCACTGCTCAGGAGTTCTATCGGGCCTCTCAGACGCAGGAGGGATCAGCGGCAGCGCGAAAGCGTGCTGGACCGAATCGAAGAAATTGGGGTCGGCCGACTCTAACACCTCCTTGCGCATCAGCTCGCGCGCGGCGACCCTGCGCATATGCTCACGCGTGTCATCGTCTAAAGGATCCTCTTCCGTGTCCTCAAGCAAGGCCGGGCAATCCAGCCACCGGTGGCCCAAAGACTCGGGCTTGCCATTCTTGCAAGCAAGGCAATTAGGTGATAACACAACGCCATGACAAAACTTCTTCTCTCTCGGCCACATAGCGCCTGTCCACAGGCACTGTAAAGCCCCCAGCTCTGCTGAGTCTCGCACGGCGCGAAGACCCTTCGTGCACGCACGAACAGCGCGATGCCAGATAATCTCTCCGTCGTAGCCTGGGAGGTGCTGCTGGACACGTCGCATCTGCCACCGTTGGACTCCAACCTCTAATAAGTCGCGGAAGTCCCGAGGCGCCACAGCCAACAATGAAAAATACGTGTTCTCGTCGGTGATGACTTCGCGTGTCGAGCGCATAGACCAGTCAACTCGACGGAGCGTCATCCACAACGCCGAAAGCGGGCCTGTTACTTTAGAAGACCACGTTTCAGCCTTCTTCATGCGAGAGACCATCAGTTCCAATGCTGCAGCTGGGTAAAAGAATCCTTGGCTTCCCACAGCCACGACGCGCACAAGTAGGGCAACTCCAGTGTCGCCGTGAAAATCGGATCATAGCGCATGCCCCGAAATGTCCTCCAGGGCTTGGCCCCGACCCCCGGGGCTGAGAGAAACACCAAAATAACCTGTTCGGGGCCCGAACATTGTCTCCAGGCCCGAATGCGTCCTCCAGGGCTGGGACCAACCCACGGGGCTGCGAAAGGCACCATGATACACTTTCTGATTTCTTCTCCCTATATATGTATGTATGTATGTATGTATATATATATATAACACAAGTATATAAAACAAAAGTTTCCGGCCCGAACGTGCCCTTCACGGCTGGGCCCCGATCCACGGGGCTGCGAAAAAACACCCGCGTCGACGTCTCGGGTTCCGAGAGCTTGTATGAAACTGTCATCCACGGTTTGGCCCCGACCCCCCAGGCTGCGAAAGCCATTCATCGGAGGCCTCCAGGCCCGACGTCCTCCAGGGCTGGGCCCAACCTGCGGGGCTGCGAAAGACACCGACATACACCTTTCGGGCCCCCGTTTGTTCTTGGAGGTCCCCAGGCCCGAAAGCGTCCTCCAGGGCTGGGCCCCAACCGGCGGGGCTGCGAAAAGCACCACAATCAGCTTTTCGGGATCCGGAATTTCCTTTTTAAGAGAGCCCCAGGCTGAACGCGTCCTCGAGGGCTAGGCCCCGATTCCCGGGGCGGCGAAAGACCCTGGGGCGGACGCAGCATACTCGCCAGGAGGAGAAGCAGGGGCGCAGATGAGCGCATGCCCGAACACATGCAAACACACGACGTGCACTGATAGTACAGCCGAACGCAGAAACCACATATACCAGCCGAACAAGCGATTCACGTGCCGAACAACATCGAACAAGTGATTAGAACATGGCTAAGCCATTCACTACGTTCACCACCGAGAAGATGGTGAATAATACGAACATCACCAGGAAAGCCTGCATGACCCGCTCATCAAATTTGAGGCCTCGCCCCAGTTGATGCCTCCAGACATGCATTGGAACAGGGTGCACATGGTCTGGAACAGTTAGCCGAACAGGAGGCTGACATCTTTATGATCTGGAGAAACCTGATTGTCAAAGGGTTTCCGGTAGTCCCTGGTGCCCTGCGTCGGTATTATGGATAAGCCGTAGGTCGTGCCAAGCAGCATTGTCATCAACCAGAACAGCGACTGCAGCGTTCCCATAATCATGAGCAGCAACACCCGAATCTGTGAGACAAACCTCACTGTGCGAATGACGCGCACGATTCGGAACATCCGGATGAGCCTCGCAATCTTTGAGAAGGGTGCGCTGGAGTCTGGCAGCAGATCGACCCAGGAGGCACCTATCAGGATGGAATCGAACACATTCCACCAACGATTGTCGCTGTCGGTGAGGAACATGGAGCGGTGCACCGAAACCCGCATGAGAAGTTCGACCGTGAAGACCACCGTGAACATCATTTCCAAGTCGTCGAACCACTGGGAATCTGTGTTCGAGGTGGCCCGAAGCTGCATTTCCACCCCAAGCACCACAGTCGAGAATGATTGCGACGGGAAATAGCGAGAGTTCACAAGCCTGCCCAGCAGGCCCCGCTGCGCGCTCAACTCCTCAGAACTCATGCGCTTTGTGAACTCTTGTTCCCTCGAAACCTTGGTCAACTTCCTCGACGCCCTCCTGAAACTGCTCCCGTTATTGCTCACGCTTTCCGTTCCGCAGTCCTGGCCACTCACTCGCTTCCCGTCGTTTGTGGCTTGATCTTCTTCGAAAGAGCAGCCCTCATACAGTCGGAATCTTTAGTAAGGACAGGCGGTAAGGACGCAGGGGCTTGGACGCCGAAGTTGGCATTTTTTGGGCGGCGGGCTGCCAACACCCTGAAGGGCTGGCCAATGAACACCTTGAAGGACGGGCCGCGGAGGCAAGAACGCAAGGGTACCCCAAGGACATCCGTGCGTCCCTACTATGAGTCTTGACTGCAAGTGCTGCTTAGTGTGGGGCGCTCGTGGACCTGGCTCCCCGTCGTGACCATTCGGGCCGCATGGTCCTCGCAGCTCCAGCCGCTGGCATCTGGTGGCTGGGTACCGCGCTGGCCGCCACAGGGGTACGACGAATCCAGCGGCCCTGCCGCGGCCACGGGGGCCGACTGCCCCTCGTGGAACAAGCTCGAGGACCCGCGCTCGAAGCTGGCCCCTTGAGCCAGCCCCCCCGACCATCGGGGCGAGGCCCTCCAGGGGCAGCGCGACCCGCTGCTGGTCAAGCGCCTCGGCGAGCCCGTCCAGCTTGGACTCCACCCGCTCCGTCCACGCGGCGAGCACGTTTCGCTCCATGGGTCCCGGCCGACAGCTTGCCGAGAAGCGCGGCAGCGGGTGGGGAAAACGCCTCGAGCCGCGGTGGCCCCCCGAGCTGGGGCGTCCTGCTACTGCTGCTCCTCTCTCCCCAACTGCCCTGCTCGCTCGGCCAGCCTCACTGCCCCGCAGCCGCTGGAGGCTGGGGGCGGGCTGGCGGCTGGGGGGATGGGCCAGGGGCGGGACCCAGCCGCCGGGGGGGCTTGCAGGATGCCCCGCTCGCCTTGCCCCTGCCCCGCTGTCACCCGCTTGTCGCCCAGCACCGCGGATTTCCTGAGTCAAGGGGTTGCGGGCGCCAGGACGGGGGTTGTCTTGTCGCCCGCCTCGGCATGCGTCGCTCGCCCGCCTGCGTGCTGCTCCTGGATCGAATGTCGGGTCAACACGTCTGGGGAGTGCCGCAGCATTCTGGGCGGGCAGCCCGAGGGATGCCGCGCTCCGATCGCTCCCGCAGCCGCAACCGCAACCGCCATGGCAAGGACCGGTCTCGCCCAGAGCGCCAGAAGCCGGCATCTCCGCAGCGACTCCGCCCGCCCTCGCCCTTCCCCCTCGCGCGGCCGAGTGGCGACGCCCGCGCAGCGCAACACTACACCGCCGCCAGGGGCCCCTCGCCCCAGCGGATGAGGGTCTTCCTCCTCCTCCTCCTCCTCCTCCTCCTCCTCCTCCTCCTCCTCCTCCTCCTCCTCCTCCTCCTCCTCCTCCTCCTCCTCCTCCTCCTCCTCCTCCTCCTCCTCCTCCGCCCCCCTCCCCCTCCCGGCGTGGCCGGAAGCCAGGGGTGACGGAGGACCCGCGTGACCCGCCCTTGGGGACGAGCGCGCCTGCTGCGGACTTCGCCGCGCAGGCGTGGGCAGCGGCGGCACTCCCGCGCCAACAGGGGCAGCTGCAGCAGCACGCTGAGCAAGTGCCGTCGCGCTCGCAGCAGCGCCCGGGGCGCTTCGTGCCCCCTCGGGCTGGCGGGGACGCTTCCCTGTGCTGGGGGTTTGGCGCCCCAGGACCGCCAGAGGCGCCGCCAGGGGACATTCAAAAACCACTGTGAAACGCGGAACGCTTTGCTCGCGAGGCGTTCGGCGCTTCGCGCGGGGTTCCTTGGGCGCTCCCTCGGCGGCCCCGTGCCCCGGCGGCGCCGCCTCGGCACCCTCGCCGTCCTCCACGGTCCCGGAGCCTCCGTGGGGCGCAGTGCGCCGCGGCCTCGACGGCCGGAGACGCCTCCGACGCGCGCCCGAAGGGGCACCACGGTGCGCCCGCAGTGCGCGGGCGGGCGGCTGCGCTGCCGGCCGCCAGTGCGAAGCCGCGTGCCCCCGCGCGTGCACCAATCGAGCGGGCTCCGGGGGGCAGTCCTCCGGGGCCCTCCTTGGGGTGCCAGCCGCCACCTCGCTGCGTCGGCCAGCAGGCCCTCCAGGGTGGTCGGCACTCGCAGCGAGGCGGACCTGCCCCGAGGACCTCCCTGCTGCACGCAGCCCAAATACATACGCAGTCCCCCCAACCAAGTGTCCTTTTTCCTCTCCGGGTTTTGGACGCTACCAAGTGACATTACAGCTACAGACCTGAGGATTTGACTGGCAGACACAACCTGCTACAAGTGGGAAATATACCAGTTCTTCAAACGAACTTTTAAAGTTCCCGTAGAGATAAGGGGGGGTTCCCAAGGCTCTCCCCCTCCTGACCGATCCTGAAGCTGATACATCTGCAAGGGCTCAACGGACGGATGGCGGACCGTTTTCAAAATGAGGCTCTCGCCTCAGCGCCGGGCCCATTCGCCTTGAAAGTTCGAGAGAGCTTCACGGATGGAGGGTGGGTGGTTTACAACATGTGGCTCTCGCCTTAGCGCTGCGTACATTCGCCTAACAAGTGGCACGGGTTTCAGGGATGGAGGGCGGATGGCTTTCAACATTTAGCTGTCGCTTTAGCGTCGCGCACATGCGTTTGAAAACATGCAGGAGATGCCGTGCGGTTCATTTTTCAAAGTCTGGCCCTCGCCTTAATTAGTGCCGCGCGCATTCGTTTAAGTATTTGAAATTTCACTGATGGAGGGCGGCTCGTTTTCAAAATGTGGCTCTCGCCTTAGCGCCGCGCACATCCGTCATACAAGTTTGCAAAAGCTTCACAGATAAAGGGCGGTTCCGTTTGAACATGCGGCTCTCGTGTTAGCGCCGTGCACATTCGATTCAGACGAATGTGCACGGCAGCGCGCACAAGGGGGTAGGGGGAGGGGGGAAGGCTTCTTAGGAGGCCGCTCCTTAGAAGCTAGGGCTCCCAACTTCGCGCTTCGCGCTGCGCGAAGCGCGAAGCGCGAATAACTTCGCGCTCTCGCGCCGCCCTCCCAAAGGGAGAATAGGAGGACGAGGAGGAGGGGGAGAAGGAACGAGGACCGCGAAGCGCGAAGCGCGAATAACTTCGCGCCCTCGAGGGAGCCCTTGTAGAAGGCGCCGGCCCGACACCGGCAGGCAAGGCCCGAGCCTTCGAAGAAGCATGGGTGCCTCTGAGAAGCCTCCCCCCTCCCCCTGCCCCCCCCCCTGCGCGTGACCGATCTGGGACACTCCCGAGGCTCACGCTGGCTCCCGGTGGGCTGCTCGGCATGCCTGCCGGTCGCCCAGGACCGCTCCGGCCGCGCGCCGCAGCTCTTCCCCCCTCCGCCCCGAGAGGCCCCCCCTCCGAGCTGGCGCCTCGGTGCCTCGTGCCTCCGCCTTGGAGTTGGCGGCGCGTCAAGGGGGGAAGGCATCGCTGGTTCGAAGAGGGGGTCCTGAGGGATGGGGGCCCAGAGATAGAAAGGGATCCAAGCGTGGATCTGCATTGTTCGAGGCACCTCGTCCTGAGGACCCCCATCCCTCAGCACCCCATCCTTGAGCCACCGAAGGCAGAGGGGGCGGGCTTTCTCAGAAGGCTCGGCAGGCCTCCTGCCTTCTGAGATGTTGCTACTTTGTCAGAGTGAAGGGGCCGAACGGTCTTTCATTATCCCTGGGTGCGCGGCTCTAGTGGGGATCCGTGGTGAGGATTATGTTTGTTGCGTTGTTGTTGTTGTTGTTGAACACTATTTCTTCTTAAGAATAAGTATTGTTGGGACCCCTGGTGCGCGACCCCCCCGCCGCGCCTAGGCCGCAGCCGCATTTTCATCATTTTCGTGAGGAAATCTCAGGTAAAACGATGTGGTCCAGATCCGGTTGTTTTGTTGACGCCCGCTTTCCCTGTCAAAAAACTATATAAAATGACATGTCTTGTTCTAACATAACCAAACTTCAAGAATCCTTTTGCAAAAAATGACACGAAGTGCACACTCGCGCGCGCAAGACGAAATCCTTCCAAAACCCTAGTTTTCGTAATGATTTTAACATAAAAACATCAAAAAACCAATGGTTTTCCAAAAAAAGTGTCAAAAATTCATCCCGCGCGCTCTTGCGGATCCGTAGGAAACCCAACACTTTTTTAAACATTTCTGTCAAACGGGCTTTTGCGAGCAACTTTTTCGAACTTCTGCAACAACGGTTGCGCACCTGCCAGGGCCATCATCCCTGTCAAATAATACCATGCGGGACACATTCGTTTTTTCTTCGCGCGCGCACGCCGTCGTCGTCGGCCGCGGGGCCCTGAATAGTAGCCACGGTCGTCCGCATGCCACGAAGTGAAGTGTCCGAACGTCATAGGGCGGGAAGCTGGGTGTGGGTGGTGGCGAAGAGTCGTTTGGAAATTTGGTAGAGCTTGAACCGGCCCCCCCACAAAGTGGGGGTATTGCCCGCCTCCTATGAAAACCCTGGCACTGGTGAGAACGGAGTGTCCCCACGTGCTAGTAATTGTTGTTGTTGTTGTTGTTGTTGCTGTCAATTGTTGTCGTCGTCTCTCCTGCGACCCACCCCGCGACCCACCCCGCGACTCACCCGCGACCCAACCCGCGACCCATCCGCGACCCACCCGCGACCCATACGCGACGCACCCGCGACCCGGCCCGCGACCCACCCACGACCCACCCGCGACCCCACCGCGACCCACCCCGCGATCCACCCACATTGCTTTAACGAAAAAATCGGCGCCTGCGGCGGGCTCAGCGCATGAGTAATTTGTGAAAGTTGGGCGCCTGCGGCGGGCTTCTTCAGAGCCTCGCAGACTGACGTCCTCGCTGCCCCCTCACTCTTATCCGCAACTGCGGGGGGCTACGTACGTGTTTCTTCCATGGCGGCGGCTGTCCTCGTCTCATCCCCCGAGGACCCTGCTCTATGTCACAGGTGGCGCCAGCTGGCAGCGGGCAGAGCCTGAAGACGGGGGGAGGAGAACGGGAGAGGAGAGGGGGGGCAGAGCTCCTCCTCCTCCTCCTGCTCCTCCTCTCCCTCCCCCTCCTGCTGCTCCTCCTCCTCCTCCTCCTGCTTCTCCTCCTGCTCCTCCTACTCCTCCTGCTCCTCCTGCTCCTCCTGCTCCTCCTGCTCCTCCTCCGCCACCTCCTCCTCCTGCTCCTCCTCCTCCTCATCCTCCACTTCCCTCTCTTCTTCTTCTTCCTCTTCTTCTTCTTATGCTCGTCATTATATTATTAGTCCTACTATTATTTTTATCAGTACTAATATGATGATTATTATTATTAGTATTATTAGTATTATTATCATTAGTATTACTATTATTACTATCATTAGTATTAGTACTACTATTACTATTATTATTAGTATTATTAGTAGTAGTAGCAGCAGCAGCAGCAGCAGCAGTAGTAGTAGTAGTAGTAGTAGTAGTAGCAGTAGTAGTAGTAGTAGCAGTAGGAGTAGCAGTAGTAGTAGCAGTAGCAGTAGCAGTAGTAGTAGTAGTAGTAGTAGTAGTAGTAGTAGTAGTAGAAGTAGTAGTAGTAGTGGTAAGTAGTGTAATAGTAGTAGTAGTAGTAGTATAGTAAAGTAGTAGTAGTATAGTAGTAGTAGTGGTGGTGGTGGTGGGTAGTAGAAGAGTAATAATAGTAAGAGTAGAGTAGTTGAGTAGGTAGTAATATTAAGTAAAGTAAGTAGTACGGATTATAAGTATTATTATGTATTAGTATAGTATAGTAGTAGTAGTAGTAGTGGTAAGTAGTAG